ATCACCCTATCCTATAAAAAATAAGCATAAAAGACACAGATATGTTCACTTCCTTGCGCCGAGGGCGATCAAGGAAACCAGCTGGTTTCCGTGATCGCCGTGGCGAAGTGAACCTATCAGCTATAGTCTTTAAAAAGCTGTTGGGAGGGGTAACTCTGCCAGTCTGCTATAAGGAGCTTCTTAAACTAAATAACCTATTTTATGGACCGGAAAGTAACTCATGTATTTTGTACTATATCTTTTAAATGTTAGTGCCATTTTGTGACCTGTGTATTTAGGAATTATGTATTGTTCGTTTGTTATACTAATTGTATAAGATAATATTTTGTTAATTTATTTTGTTTAAAAGAAATGTCCCACTGGGTTTCTGGCTGGTTCTTCCATGGACAGAGGTTTTCTTCGAACGAGTGGTAAAAGTATTATATTTAATTAAATTCCATTCTATTCTATTCTAAAGAGTAACCCTATAATTAATATTAAGACAACGAGAAATACAGCTTTTTCTTTGTCTCTGTGTCTACATTTTTCTAAATCTAACAAGCTCGCCAAGAAAAAGCTATCAGGAGTAAAATACAGGAAAAATGCCAAAGATAGGGTCTTGCAGGCAAAACAATTTGAGGATAAGATGAAAAAGTGGCTTAGTAGGAGTAAGGAGGAGGCCCGTCAGTGCTTGCTGCAGCTTCCGAAGATAATATTAAATTGAGGATATTTCTTGCAAGACCAAGTGGATCAAGATTGACCAACATCATCCAAACAGATTACGAGTACTGATCTGAGAGAGTGCAATCTTTATCATCGATCTACGCAACTTGAAAAAATAAAGCTGGAATAAAAAGAATCTGAATCGGATCACTCGGGTTCGGATGAACTGCAAAAAACCGGTTAAAATTTGATTTGAGAATCCCAGGCGATTAGACAGACATGAAAAAAAAATACCGACCAGCAACGATTTTTCTTTAGCACTCAAGCTGTGTTATTAGCAAAAAATAACCCAGAAAACATTGAATTTAGATCAACTGAACGCTGGCATAGATTTAAAATTGTGATACAAAAATGGCTAATGACAAAAAGATTAAAAGATCTTGCCTTGTATATTCTAAGAGAAAAAATGCAATTATGTATGTACGTGCTGCAAGATTTACCAGAAATCTTCCTCTTCCGCTATATTTGCGTTGTGTACTACAGGATTTATTAATTGGAAAAAAAAGCTTCTGGGTGATTAACTGAACCCCGAGTAGTGGCGGGTAAGAATACCCACTACCCCATATCTTCCCGTAGGTTTCATAAGAGGTGACAGAGGGAAACTGAGACAGAAGATGGGCAGCAGCATCTTTCTGACAACAGCAAAATAACAATAAAAAACTGCGGTTGCCAACCTGCTCGCCAAGCTTGGCAACTATGGCAATATACCCCCATGAATTAATAAAGTTATGAAGAGATGGCTCTCAGTCCCCAGCAGCCCCGCTATTCCTGACTACAGTGGCGATCATGGTAACGGCCGGGCAGGGGATGCTAAGAATCTCCGTTGAAGGTTCGGTTGCCACCTAAGACGACTCGATCTGGAAACATATAATGCACGTGTACCCTGAGGACTGACTAGAAGATACTGGAACTGGAAAAAGAGATAGACAAGTTGCGCTGGAATATTATAGGATTATCCGAGTTCAGAAGACAGGGGGAGGACACGGTAATACTCGAATCCGGCAACATGCTTCATCAACGGTAGGGCGACCATCTGTTTCAAGGAGGTCTCGGATTTCTTGTTCACAAGACTTTCGTTAACAATGTTATAACGATTGGGAGTATGTCGACGGGAGTTGCGTTTATACTCATAATCACCAAAAGGTATCGCTGAAAGTCATACAGGTTTACGCAATAACCTCGGCACATCTCGATGATGAGATGGAAGAAATATATGAAAATATATTTAAGCATTTTGCATAATAAAATTTTGCATTACTCCAAAACCCACTATACGGTATTATTGGGAGACTTTAACGCAAAACTAGGCACAAAAGAGAACGGTGAGCTGAAGCAGCTGAAAATTTGGAATAGGGCAACGGAACCCAAGGGACCAGCAGCTGGCCGACTTCATGGAGAAAGAAGGATTCTTTATGATGAACTATATTTTACAGAAGCGGCCCTACAGGAAGTGGACCTGGTCGAGCCCCGACAGTTCGACGAAAACTGAGATTGTCTTTGTTAGGACGACTAGACGGCAACTGTTCGGTAATGTCTCAGTGATTGCGAGGGTGAAAACTTGTAGCGATTATCGAATGGTTAGAGGCACACTGAACCTAAACCTTAAGTTGGAAATTTATCGTTTAATGAAGTCAACGCTCCGTTCCCCTCGTGCTCTAATCCAAAGTCCCGATACCTTTCAGCTCGGGTTACAAAACCGTTTTCAGTGTCTAGAAGACTGCAATGCAGTGGAAGATATGAAAGACTAGCTCGTGGAAACTGTCCATGCGGTCGGAGAAAAGACCCACCGCAGAAGAACACAAAAACTCTCTGATTACACTTTTAATATCATGGCTGTTAAACGGGGAATCAAGCTGCAGTCTTCAATAGATTTGACAGCATACAGGCAACTGAACAGGCAGATCTCCAAATACATGTGGCTGGACTTACGCAACTTTAATACAGGTCGTATTGAAGAAGCTCCAATTTTTTTGCCAGAGATCTGTCTGCCAGAAAGAACCAACTGTCGAAGCCGAAGACCGAGTGTGGCAGCATCGTTTCCGAGACACCTGAGATTTTGAGTGAGATTAAGAGGTTCTATGGGCAGCTGTACAAATCATCGTTGGAGCCACATATAAGTGTGAGTAACGATCCAAGAGCGAGTCTTATCCGCCACTATTCCGATGATATCCCGGACGTCAGTCTGAGCGAGATTAGAATGGCTCTCCAGCACCTTAAAAACGGCAAGGCCCCAGGCGAGGATGGGATTACAGCGGAGCTTCTGAAAGCGGGTGGAAGACCGATACTTGAAGTCCTTCAGAAGCTCTTTAATTCCGTCCTCCATGGTGGCATTACACCGGAGGCGTGGAGCAGAAGTGCGGTGGTCTTGTTCTTCAAGAAAGGTGACAACGCTCTCTTGAAGAACTACAGACCGATTTCCCTTCTGAGCCGCGTCTACGTGCTGTTTTCGAGAGTCATAACGAATCGTCTCGCACGCGGACTGGACGACTTCCAGACTCCCGAACAAGCCGGTTTCCGAATAGGCTCTAACACCATAGACCACATACATACCCTTTGGCAAATTGTACAGAAGACCAATGAGTACAATTTGCCACTATGTTTGGCGTATGTAAACTATGAGAACGCATTTGATATTGTGGAAATTTGGGCAGTGCTGCAGTCTCTTCAGCGGTGCCAAGTTGACTGTCGTAGTTTAGGGCTACAATGGCTATCCGAGTACAGAACCAGAGTACAAAACCTATCCAATTGCAGAGAGGTGTAAGTCATGGTGACTTTATATTCCCGACACTCTTCACCACTGCATTGGAAGACGTTTTCAAGCTACTGGACTGGAAAAGATACTGTATTAACGTCAATGGCGAATACATTACTCACCTTTGATTTGCTGACGATATAGTCCTTGTGGCAGTATCACTGCAGGACCTAAGCACTATGCTCACTGAATTCAATAGTGCCTCCCAACGGATAGCAAAATAAGGATCATGTTTAACGTCCATGGCACACCTATGCTGGTAGTTTTTGGGAGCACTAAGCTCGACTTTGTTTACCTGGGACAAATAGTCCGACTAGGTACATATAAGTCCAACTTCGACCGAGAGGTCAATCGACAGATTGAACTCGGTTGGGCAGCGTTCGGGAAATTACAAAACGTCTGCTCATTAGGTGTACCTCATACATCATATCATAGTTTTGTAATTAGACACAAATTAAAAACTTAAAACGAGACTATACAACCAGTGCCTGTTGCCAGTGATGACTTATGGAACTAAGACGTGGTCCTTCACTGCTGGCCATATGAGGATGCTCAAGTTCGTCAAGATGATGATGATGAAGGTTAAAATAATGGTGGCATTGACGGCATGGAAGCCATTTTTAATATTTTGCCTGTAATACAACAAAAATACGGGAGGTGTTTGGCGTTCAAGGTATGGGCTTAAATAAGCTTAATAAGCTTTAAACATGTTACTACTGATCAACGATTTTCTTGACAATCACGAAAAACGAAAAAAGTTGTAGTTAATATAATACTTCGAGAACACACAAAGCAGCGCGGTGTACTAATATCCTTCTGCTCCATAACTTTCTTAGAAATGAATGAAACTTACTGTGTTCAGAAATGAAGGAAAGACTGGCTTACTAGCATTAGCACAGACAATTGAAGTTGGAATTATAGAAATTTCAATATTTAACAGAAATATATTTTTCTTACCCATTATTTTTTCAATTAGCAGTGTATAGTATACTCTCCTACTATATTCCTCATACTGCAATACGCATTATAACTAGGAATACCTAAAAATTGAAATGTTTGTGTTCACCATATTTCAAAAACAGTACTGAAGAGATTTTGAAACATCGTTTTAAAAGCCAGAGCACACCAAATGCCTTGCTTAGCACGCTTGTATTGCGAAACCGGCGGGGTTAGCCAAGTTGACTTTCTATAATCTTTATAGCTAATAGAAAACTATAAAATGAATGAAGTCAGGTGACTTAACGTCGCCTTCATAATTTTTTTTTGTTTTTGTTTTTTTTATAGTTTTCTACTAACGTTTTTAAAAATCATAATACAATAGTCTCAAACAACGAGCCTTTCAAAAAAGCCTTTGAATAAATTGTTTACAATTACAGCTCTAAAATATTTCTAAATTCCCTTTTTAACTTTTTGTCACTTCAACATAAATTATTTTTCTAGTAGGTTACGTTACTGCGTCGATATTCTCCAGTAGGCGTCTACGTAATTTTTCAATTAAACACATTAACTGTTGTTTTTTTGAATTATTGTTGTTTAGTGAGGCAGGATGCATAAAAGTATCAGCGAACCTTCCTTAGAAACTGATGGAATTTCGTAAGTAACTTTATATTCTTGCTTTTTACCCACGACGAAACGAATATGTATGCGTTTAGGGTTTTTTGTGTGCAAACGAATGTTGCCATCTGTCCTCAATAGTTTGATCGATTTAGAAAAAGTTTTCTGTTTGATTGTTAGATATAGTTTACGCCAATGTGTTATCACGCCAGGGGACGCTGCAATAAACATTTTTCGCTCATTAAAATTAATTTTAGCGCAACTTTCCCCAAGACGGCTTGACATATTTAAATGCGATTTTTGTGAAATGTTTGAGATTTACTTGCAATGATATTTAGATACGTGTAGGTGATAGAAGCCTACTGCAGGTATTTTATAGTAGTAGCACAAATGGGTCAACTCGACCGGAGTAGGACCACGCTCTCACAGAATAACAACGTAAAATAGTAGCATAATGTTGCTGTGTTTCGTATGGCGAAAATTAAGAACCGGAGACCCTTTTTACTAGAAACGAAGCATTCCATCCTAGTTCTCAGGGATTAAAAAGCATCTGCATATTGATTCTTAATTGAGGGTAGATGTAAATACTGTGCTCGTTTGTCACCGTATTTCTTTACAAACAAAGGTATGGTTACAACCATACCTTTTGGTTTTAACCAAATGGTATGGTTGTAACGGGCGCTGATACGTTTTTCTGTGAAGTGCTTGAGATTTAGGGCCCTTTTGATAGGGCTAGGTGACTAGCTATCTACACATGAACTGCTGAAGGTTCTAATGATGGAGCAGAGAAACGTCATGGGCAACTCTGCGAAGATACTTCGCTAGTAGACCGTGTTAGGGCTATTTTGATAGCGTTAGCTGAAGATAGAACAGAAAAACATCGTCAACTATATGGAGGCACGTAATTAGTAAACTATTTTGGGCTCTTTTTAATTAGCTTCTCGATGTCACATAGCATGTTAGGGTTCTTACTTTTATCACTATGTTAATGAGTGACCCGCGAAACGTGACCGTGAAACTCAGTTGTTTTACCTCTTCCAACGCTATGGTATTGTGTAAAGAGTTTTATTTGATTAAGATTAGTTATTACAACCCGGTCTAGAGATAGTAATCTATGAAGAGCCACATAAGCTCGTCCTTTGGTGAATGTTTAAGATCCAAGATGTGTGACTGCCTTATCGACTCTAGCGCTCTGTAATTTATACACTGTAACGGCCCAACTTAATATGAGTGGAATCATTACTCTTTCTATTTTGCCAGCACCTTTGTTTCCTTAAAATGACACTCATTGGAACTATACTACCCAACAATTTTCATCATGGTAAGTTCTGCCAATACAGCAATCGTCAAATTAGATAAGGCCATTTTTGGGCAGCTCTCCATCTTCCAACTGCTATCTTCTTAAAACTTCTTACTGAAAACCTCGAACTCCTTCTATATTGCCGTTGACTTAACCTTCGCTAACTTTATTGTTTTTTTTTAACATCATTATTGTACCCATACTTAACTTTCTACTGCTTCTACTTAAGATGCACAATCACTGAGGGGGTAGCCAGAGAGAACAGATCGCCAAGTGTCACGATCCTTACATACCTCTTTCGCTTCTTTCAGATTCACTATCTTCGTCATACATGCACGTCTAGGTATCCGAGTACTCTTGACCCTCCCCTCTTCGAGCAATTTGCTCACATGGTCTTCGAAACTTAGTCTCGGTCTACTTCGACACTTTTTAATATTAACTTTCGCGCTATATATTTTCTTCACCATTCGGTCTTCACTCATTCGCTCAACGTGCCCAAACCATCGAAGCACGCCCATATCAATTTTTGTGATTAGGTCATCTTTCAAACTTGCCATATTGCGAATCTCTTCGTTTCGCTTTCGGTCGGCCATGGTAATGCCGCACATTTTACGAAGACATCACATCTCCACTGCATTCAACTTACTTTTATGCTTCTTCTGGCATACCCAGGTTTTGCTGCCATATAACAAAGTCGGTACCAACACTGCGTTATGTATTGCAAGGCGTGCACTCTTCACTACACCATGCCTTTTGACTAACGCAGTCAGGGCACCATTGACTTTGTTCCCGGCAGCGACACGCCTGTCCGTCCACATCTAAATCACATCTTCCATCCTGGCTAAAAGCACTCCCCAAGTATACAATTTAATTTACCTGTTCTAGACATTCCTGATTTACCCATATTTCACACTTCGTTCTGTCTTCGTCCCTTTCAAATACCAGAACCTTAGTTTAATTAGCATTCAAACGGAGACCTTTAATTTCACATTCCTTTTTCATACACGTGACTAATGCCTGCAGTTCTGCCTCTGATGGTGCAATAAGCACTGCATCATCAGCATACAGCAGACAATTTACTTTAAGGTCACCCAATTTCACACCCAAACTTATCTTTCAGCTTCTGTAAACAGCTGTCGAGATACAGTATGAACAGCCAGGAAGACATGACACAACCCTGTTTTACGCCCGTTTGGACGCTAAACATAGGTGACAGGTCATGCCCTACCCGCACACAGGCTTTGCAGTCACAATAAAGTGACTGCACAGCCCTTAGCAATCTACCATCCACACCATACCCCGGCAACAGTTCCCACATTTTCTTCCTTACAACCTTATCAAATGCTTTCTCAAGACCCACAAAAGCACAGAAAATCCTCTGGTTAGAAGCCAGAAGCTTCTCCGTGATCATGCGGAGAGAAAACATTTGATCCGTGCATCCTCTTCCAGGTCTAAATCCGCATTGTGCCTCCCATAGAAATCTTTCCGATTTCTCTTGCATCCTACGTGTCAAAACCTTCGAGTAAACTTTACTTGCTAAACTGGTCAAGCTGATCGCCCGATATCACCCGCAGTCAAAATGTGAACCATCACCTTTATATAAAGGCACAATGACTGCGGATCGCCAATCATCCGGGACATCCCCCGTCCGCCAGCACAAATTGCACAGCAGTTGAAAGCTGTCCCAGACGCGAGGCTCACCATACTTGACCATTTCAGCAGTAACTCTGTCTAGTCCCGCAGCTTTACCACATTTCAAACTTCGAATCGCACGTTCAATCTCTTTCATACTGATGACCTCAGTATCATCGAGGTCCGGGTCTAGCGTACCAGTCACGGCGTTACCCCCGGATCTCTCACTAAGATCATCAACCTTAACTTAACACTTAACAACACAACTTTATTTGGGGTAAAATGAATGGGTGTAATACTTTGTAAGACATCAAAGACAAAAAGAAAAAAATTAGACAGAATTTAGACAGGAACGTAGAAAATCTCTAGAAAGTTTAAAATCAAAAGCAAATTTAAGAATTGAAAAATCCCATGATGGATGTCGTAATCGAAAAAGGATTCAATCAAGTTTTTGATAAACCTGGTAATAATAGTGATGCACACTCGACAGATGGTCAGGCAAAACGCTTTCATAAATTGTAGTATTTCATCTTTATCGATAGTATGTGGTATAGTGGTAGTAGTGTTAACGTAGTGAAATCGTTCTCTTAGAATTTTATTATATTATAAAAGAAGATATTAAAATTTTGCTTTTTAAACATAACTAACAGACATAGAGCAACACGGGGAACCGGCGGACCAGAGCGGAGGGGAGTAACCATAGCGTTTTTCCCCAATACAGAACTTTCGGACATTTTAGCGGGGGGAAATCTGCACATAAAAAAAAAACAATCGTCCGTCACTACGAAACTTTTACAACAATTAACTAACAATTTTATCACAGACCTAGATACATTATATCATTATCAATCGCTGGCAGTGAAATTCAGACTCAGATCATTCGTCCGACCGATCTGCATAGTGTGTTAGGGCATGCGGCCTATGTTGGTAAACAAATCCGATACAATACGACCGTCATTATTGTAATTTTTAGGTTTAGAAAGAAGTGAATAGCAATAATGTGATGAAAAATTACTTATATATGAAAGGTAACGCCAACTTTTTGTAAATATGCCGTGGCAGAATTCTTTTTACAGTATAAAAATTAACGATTTGGCATTTATGTACGACTTTGATTCGCCGAGTAACTAGATTTAGTCTAGTGAGCAGTGCGGCTGGAACAAGTTTTATTGTACGCACAGGACCACGTGGACTTGTATTTTGACAGAGGTGAACGCCTGCATGTGGCTACTCCTCTTCAGTCCGCCGGCCCTTGTTGCTATATGCTAACAGATGACTAATAATGTTTGTTCGTAAGCATAACAAAGCACAATATTAGTAATAAGGGCACATCAATTTCTTTCTTTACGTGGAATTAAGCAAATTAGTTTATAACAACCCCATTATAATGGATTTCTGCAAATTAACGCCTGATTCTATTAATTAACAACATTAGTACTTATCAAAATACTTCAAAATATTTTTTATAACATAATATTTAACATTTTACTTTTTTCTTAATTGCAGTATTTCAACAAATGTGACTAGACGTGTAGGTCATATTAATTTGAATGAGTCTAAAATACAGGCTGCATTATATTATAGAGGTAATTTTATGTGGAAAGGTCGCTTTGGAGCGGTTACTAGATGTATCCTTACATTACCTTGGAAATTTCCGTGGCAGGTAAAATTATTTATAATTTTGGGAAATATTTAAATTATTTAAGGATCGTGGCAATTGGAAGTCCATAGTATCTGCCTTCCCCTCTGGGTGACAGACAGTTTATCACAGACCTAGATACATTATATCATTATATCATAATAATGCAAATAATTAAATTTAAAAATATAAGTATTTCGAATATGCATTATCTAAGTTACTAGGCCCAATCTTAGTATAAAAAATATACTATAGATTAGCCGTCTTAACTTAGGTTAAGACTTTTTGGTAGCTTTTCCCACTTAGTGTTCATTTGCAATAAAGTTTTTTTTAACATTAGCGAAATAATTTATATATAAAAAATAAATTTTCGCGGCTTTGAAGTGGCTCAACGACTATCACATCCTCAACTTAACCTACTGGTTACTGGATACGCCTATAATTTGGAGCTATAAAAGTTGCATAAATCTAAGTATAACCAAGTAATGTGTCGCTTTAGCTAATGCTTATTAATAAAATAAAATATTCAAACCATGTAAACCTTCTTTTATTAGACTTTAATTTTTATTTGTTCTACATTTTCGCCGATAAGTTACGGTTGAACTATAATTAATAAGGCGTAGCATGTATTAAGATAATATTAGTATTAAAAATATTATTAACTTGTTTTAAATATTATTATTAAAAATAATAATATTATTTCAATTGTTAGAAATGACTTCATTGGTTACTGGACAGAAACTTATATACTCATAAATTTTTGAAAGAATGTTACACCTAAACCGACATCTATTCGGGTCTGCTAGAATTTATGTGTGAACCATGATTCCACTCCTGAACAAAGGACTAGTCCATTGATTGACTCCATATATCCTCCACGCTTACTTGTCGGGTTATCAACCGCAATTTTTTGTTGTTTTTAGTAAGATGCTGCTACCCATCTCCTGACTTGTTTCCCTCTGTCGTCTCTTACGACACCAACGAAACCAGGGGTTCCCAAACTTTTTCAGTTTGCGACGCACTTATAGGTTTATTATTTTGTCTCTGCGCCCTAGCTAGTCGAAATAGAGTACAATGATACTAGGTAGATACGCACAAGAATTAAAACATCCATAATATGAAGCTGAGTTTTATTGACACACAAGAATACGTTTATTATTTAACAAAACGAATAAAAGAAATAAAATGCAAACTTAGTCAATATGACGTGTGAGCTTGGTGATCTCTATACATTTTTTTCGAACGTGGGAAAATTTTGTTACTAACTTTATTAAAAAGAAAATTTAACTCATTCATTTTTTTCAGATTCTGGTAGTAATGCTAATTATATATAAGTTTGTTCTTCAATTGCTGCTTGTTTACTATTTAAATTCGTCAAGTTTATTTTTGGACGCGACACTTATTACATCTGAAGTTGTGTTTACGATTGACGTAGTTTTGCATTTATTACATGCGTTCTGGCCTCTGGTCAGATTCTATATAACAATCTATAACAGAAATTATTTTCTGTTAGGTTACGATGTTATATCTCTATTTCCGCTTTCAATAATTTGTAAGTGCTTTAAATTAAATTATACTTACTTAAAAAATTAATAACAGTTTTAATTAATTTTTTGTGGGTTTTTAGTTAAATATAAGGAAGGATACGAAAATATATCGATGCTTGGAAGTTGGTTGAAAATAGGTCGAATTTATAGAATGTATACATTATTTACAAATGTTAAGGAAACTGTAAGTATTGCAGATACAATACAAAATTCTTTATTTTGTGCTTCAAATTATGCCTTAAAATCTAATTTATTTTAGATGCGCAGTTCTCGTAAAAATCTCTATATTTTAGAGCACTTGTTGACAGTATTATTAGTACTTCATGCTAGTACTTGTTTGTGGTACACGCAACATACATATTCACCTGAGACAAAAGAATGGTATAAGCTTGGCTATCCCGATCGTGTCAATGTACAGAAACTTCGATTTAATAGGTAAGTAAATTATCATTGTCAACAATTCGTTAACCAGGCGCGTCCTTGTTCTACAGTTAGGAGGAATTGTCGATGACAACCACTCTTAGCAAATGTAGTACGTGTTTTTGTGTAAATGAAGTATGTGTTTTTCCACCATAGATGCTATTCCGTCGCCGTAAGAATTTTATCTTTTACTGTCTTTTTTGTTTAAAAAAAAACGTTTAAACTACTAGCATTTTCGCTTGTATAGTGTAGGCAGTTTGCATACATAAATTTCACAAGGACAAACATCCAGACTCGGAACAATTACTTGTAGGCCATACAAATAATTGTTCCGGGCGAAATTCGAACCCGCGGTCGTCAACGCTCATTGCCAAGATACTGCGCCACGAAGCCGTTTAGTTAGTTAGTGTTGCATTCGATTATTTTTTTTGCATTTCCTTTAATAAATTTACCAGTGCTAGTAAGTTTCGTTTAGATCATACGTCACCATTTTCGAATTATGAATACTTCTTCTACGTCTTCTTTGTACCCTTTTAAAACTACAGCAATTAAATGCTAACAACATTATAAGATTTTTCCATAACATAGCCTCAACAGAGACTAGCTATCTGCACAGGACTCTATTCCCTCACTTTCATAGTTCGAAGGAACGATAAACCGATACGACTGGAGAGATATCAGGCGCTTTTCCTAAAGCACGGGGGTGAGACATGCCAACTTTCTAACTACGTGCAGCTACTAAGATATTCTTGGCAAAAAAAAACTCATTGATTTTGGATCCGATTCGCAATTCGTACCCGGGACCACGAGAATTACGATAATTAGCAGTCGCGTTTACAACCACTAGAAAAACGAGGCAGTCGCAAACTAGAGCTGCTACTTGTGACCAATACCTAAGATTACGCTTCAGGGTTGTTATAAAGAACTAAAGTGACAAAGTAACATATATTACACGTGATGGTAATTACCTACTGCGGTTCGTTCAGTACCTGCAGCCAACTTTAAATAAGAAATACTAGAGATTTGTTGTCATCTATGAGGTCTAAAATGGACGGTCTCTCAGCAATAATTATTCTGGTTTTGATATCCTTCAGAACGCTACCAAGCATTTCACACAATGCTACTTAGAAAAAATGGGTAAGAGGTTGGTATCTACCTACAAGGACTCCTAGTCAGAGGAGGAATCTTAGCACCCAGTAAATAAATCCCGCATATCCCGTCGATAGCTGTTTTTGCCCATATGTTAGTGCTTGAATATGTTAAATTCTCTTTATTCACAAATTTGTTGTATAGTTTAAGACATTTTCTAAATCAATAAGAATCCTTTAATCGTAACCTTCATAAGGATTATATGAAAAACTGTTATTGCAGCTATGGACCTTGCTGGTATTACTGCGCTTGTCGTTTATTTAATGTAATATTTGGCGATACTTATCCTTTGGTAAGTGATTAAATAAATGTGTAAATTATATATAATTTTTCAGATATTAGGTAAAAAATACACTTTAAGGTTATAAAACTAAAAATTGCCTCAATTATACCTCAATTTTATTCGATTTTAGCATGCTCCTCAGAAGATATTAACTTCATTTCTGATGCTATTTGGTTTCCTTTTTCTACGTTACCGATTTATTGGATATTTAACATGGGAGATTGTCCTTAAAAAGAGACGTTGGTTTACATTTGTAGACCGAGTAAGTATCAAAAACAAATATACCAAATCTTGTCATAGCCACAAAAAATGTATTGCATCATCGCTCTATTAGTATAATAGTTTCAAATAACAAATTGCAATATACTTGTAAATATTATTTTAAAAACTCTTTAACTAAGATAAATATTTGACAGTACCATCATATGATCAATTACTTGAAAATTCGGGGAGCGTCTTCTTCTCTAATAGATGAAACCGATAAATATAAGAAAGTACTATGGAAAAGGAAGGATGGAATACTAAATTCACATTATCTTCGAGAGTTACCAACACCTTTGCAAATGGAGCTGATATTTGATATTAATGTAGGACATTTCCATGAAACTTTGCTTTTTAAAGATTGCGGTAATATGGTTTAAACTACTTTATTAATGTAGACTTACTAACCTAAATGTGGAAAATGATTTTAGCATCTTTAAGTTGTCTTATGGACACAACTACTTTCACTTCTTCACACGTCTTCCATCTTATGCCTTATATGATCAACATACGTCTACTTACTCACTTGTTCTTCTATCTTTACTCATTAACCGACTTCAAAAAAGGATGAGGAGGTTCTCAATTTGTCACCAATTACTCGAAGACACCTGAACCGATTTGGAAAATTCATTTATTTTTTCAAAGGGCATACTTTCATTTAATTAGTTTTATTCAACTTTTATCGAAATCGGTAGAGCGGTTTTAAAAAAAATCAACAATAATTTTTTATACGTGGTAGAGCCATGCTACAGCTATATTATATATTAGTATAGTTGTAGTACGAATGGGTCGGCTCGACCGGGGAAAAACCACGTGCTCACAGAATACCGGCGTAAAATAGCAAATTAACGCTGCTGTGTTTCGTATGGTGACTGTAGAGAACCGGAGACCCTTTTTACTGGAAACGAGGCATTCCATCTTAGTCTTCATGGGTGACAACGCATCTGCATTTCGAAGATAGATGTAGATGTCTATGGGCCACAGCAACCACTTACCATCATCAGATGGACTGTGTACTCGCTTGTCACCCTTATCCAATAAAAAAAATTATATTGAAGTCGGTTGTACAAAATTTTTAATTTGACCACTTGTTTTCATACCTATATAAATGAAATGTATCTAAATCATTGATCAAAATAAACCACTTTGTTCTACTTCTGATACTTTTAAATTAATATTCACATAAAAATTACTTTAGATGAAGCATTCATGCGACAAATATCTTTACTAATGAAACATGAAATATATCTGAGTGGGCAACAAGTCTGGTGTCAAGGTGTAGTAAAAAATGGAATGATTTGGATTAAGACAGGTGTCTTAGAATTGTTATCGGATGAGGACGATGAAAGTCCTATGATAGCCTTTAAGGAGGGAACTGTTAGTATATAAATAACATAATAACAATGTTTTACATCTAAATAAAATAAAATGACATTTTAATATGCAATACAAATTTTAATATTTAGGTCCTAGGGGAAATTAGCTTATTTTATTCAATTCCTGCGAAGGTAACTATCAAAGCAGCCACTTACGTTGAATTACAGGTAAACAATGTCCACATTATAAAATGAATAAAAATACTAGAGTCATACCAAAGGAACCTAGATGTTCATCAAAATTTTCGCCTTGAATATGTATATACTTCTCCAAATATCTAACTCAATTAAAAATACCTGACGTCAGAAAACATGCAAGATTCTTGGTTTTGGTCGCGTTTCATAACAATTTGATAATACTTTTGCACCATAAACTAACAACAGCACTCCAATATACAACTGAAGCGGTCTGGATGTACAGCAGGATCGCTTACGTGCTTCAATTTTAATGTTCAACTGGGGAATCGAACCCGGGTCCTACCAAATTTAGGTGTTGTACTGACTAGTATGGCAGAGGTATTAAAATGTACGATGTGATGACGAGCTATTTACTTGAGTTTGACAAAATTATTAGCATTACAAATAATATTACATTTCCTTATATACAATAAGATACAAACATTATGGCTGCCTAACGTAAACTAAAGATTGTGTGAACGGTGCGTAGGTGCGTATATAAATAAATAATAAATCTTGTGAAGGCCGGGTCGAGCGCACCGATGGGCAGTGAATAGCGTTGCATCGCCCGATGAGTAATCGTCATAGATCACGCCACTTGTGACGTCACGGATCGTACGATGTGGGGCGCTTAGATTGTTAGATCACACCACTTGTGACGACATGGTTCGTTCGATGTGGAACGCTTAGATTGTGCGAGTTGCCTACTCGTTACACTACTCCCCCGCTGAGACCGTCACTACGGGCGATAGTAGTCTAGGAATCTAACCTTGCGCCCACTTCTTGTCGTCTTGGTTGGAATTTCATCGTTGGAATTATTTGTTGGTCTTGAATGTAGTATGGCCTCAGGGACTTCTGCTGTAATGTAAGCTGGTTTTAGCCGGTCTATGGAAATCCGTTGAGTTTTCCCTTGAATATCGGTGTGGACCGTCTTTGTGTCACGGTGCAGGACTTTATAGGGGCCTATGTATGGTGGCTGAAGTGATCTGCGTGCTGGACCTTGACGGACGAAAACATGGGAGGCAGATGGCAGGTCTTTTGGGTACGTGAAATGACCAGCTCGAACTTCCTTGCCAAGATGTAGGTTGAGGTGTCAATTTGCTGACATGGGCATGTAGTCTGCTAATCAGGTTGATCATATCTACTCCGGCATTTGCAACTGGTGTGAAGGTCCAGGCAAGCGAAGGGGTTCACCGTAGACGACTTCTGTAGCGGATGTCTGGATGTCCTCTTTCCATGCGCTGCGGATGCCAAGAAGAACTCAAGGTAGAACTTCTACCCAGTTGGGGGATGCGTGGCAGGTGATGGCAGCCTTGAGTTTCCAGTGAAGCCTTTCCACGAGTACGTTAGCTGCTAGGTGATAGGATGTAGTGGTATGATGAGTGGCGCTGATCATCGCGGCTAGGTCTTTGAAGGTTTGTGACACGAACTCCCTGCCACGGTCCAAAGTGATGTGCTCTGGGCAGCCGAATCGGGAGATCCACCCAGATATTAATGCTGTAGTGCAGATCTCAGCTGTCATGTGCTGGAGAAGGTACGCCTCAGACCAACGGGTGAAGCGGTCGACGATCGTGAGGCAGTACTTGTGACCAAAACATAAAGGTAAGGGACCTATTAAATCTACATGAATATGTCGGAAGCGTGCAGAAGGAGGTTCGAATTGGCGATAGTCTCTCCTTATACCCGGCCAGACGTAGCGTTGAGTTAGCATTTTCGTGGTTGCTTTCGCTCCAGGGTGACTTAAATTGTGGAGTGAATCAAATACCTCTTCCTACCTGCCTCGGGCTGTGTGTGGAAATGTCACAGCATACTTGCAGGTTTTGCTCGTCCACTCTCACTCTCTTGAGTTTCAGCGTTGATCCAGTTTTCAGGAGCTCTTGAAACTCGCTGTCGGTTTCTTGTTTTCTGGCCAGTGACGGGTAATCTATGGGTACAGAAAATAAAGCTTTAACACGAAAAAGAGTATCTGTGACTACGTTATCTTCTCCAGCTACAAATCCGATGTCAGTGCTGAACTGGCTGATGAAGTCTAGATATCGGAACTGACGTGGCGAACAGTTTTCGCGGCTTGAGGAAAAAGCGAATGTAAGTGGCTTATTGTCCGTGAAGCTTGCGAAAGTTCTTGCTTCCACCATATAACGGAAATGCTTAATGGCTTCATAAATTGCTAGAAGCTCGCGGTCGTATGGGCTATACATCCTCTGGGCTGGGCTGAGCTTTTTGAGAAAAATGATAAAGGTTGCCACTCGCTGTCCTTGTATTGTTGTAGTACAGTTCCTATAGCCGTATCTGAAGTGTCCGTTTGAATCGATAACTCTGCCTGTGAATCGGGATGAGCTAGCAGTGTGGCATCTGCAAGGCCTTTTTATATATTCAATATTCAATAACTGTGCGTATGAATGAAAAGGCTTCCGAAGAACATTAATTTACTGCTGAGGTTGTCAGTGTAGTAGTACTGCCCACCAATCGCTGATTGCGGCAATCAACAGGTAGCTCATAGTAACCTAGGAAATCGACGCCGATGATAGGCTTGGCAACATCGGCTACAACGAAGCGCCATGAGAATGCACGTCTTAGTTCGGACTAAGACGTGCATTGTCATGGTGTCCCGGGGTTTGTCTCGTGGTCCAGAGTCAATAGCAAGTATCCATATGTATGAGTAATAGTTTCATTTGCAGCAAATAACTCATATCTGGTTTTGATTCGAGGCTCTCGAACAGCAGATCATGGAAAGACGCACAGGTCTGAACCCGTATCTATAAGATATTGTAACTTCGTTTCACGATTTGTTATGAAAAGGCGGTTAGAAATGGAAACGCAGCCGTTTACCGCCACTAGTGGCTGCCTTGGGAGTTTTCCACTTTCGTGAAAGTGCAGGGCTGGACACATTTGCACGCACGGTTTTTGAAACGGTAATGGTACCAACAAAATGGATGATCCTTGGGCCTGGAGCGTTAATGAGAGTGGATGCGAGAGCGTTGTCCGGAAAATCTTGTTTGTGAACGAGATTTTCTTAGCTCCATGCTCATAGTCTTCAATCGTTGACTAAGTTCGGCTAACGACTTCGTTAGTATGTCTAAGGTACTATTAGTGGCCGCAGTTGGTCCAGTGTGCGACATTGCGGATATACTAGCTACTTGCCCACTTACTTGCATAGTTGCTGGAACAATATCGTTAAGCCGGTCGGCGAGTTCCGCTAAATCTTCAAGTTTCATCCTACTCTCTTCTGCTGCTATGCAAGTCTGGAGGTGCGTAGGTAGACGACTTGCCCAGATGGTTCGAATAAAATCTGTAGGGCTGTAGGGACAGTGACACCAGCTAAATGTTATAAATGCTGAAGAAATTGTGTTGGTTTTCTATCGCCCAATTCTTCGTGCATAAGAAGTTTGTTGCCGTGTAGTGGCGGTTAAGAATATCCACTATCCCGTATCGTCCCGTGGGTGTCGTAAAAGACAGTGCGAAACAGGTAGAAGATGGGTAGCCGCTTCTTCCTGATAACAGCAATATCACAAATAAAAACTGCGGTTGCCAACCCGCTCGCCAAGCGTGGCAAATATGGAAATGTACCCCCCAATGGATAAAGTTACAAAAGGACAGCCCCCAGTCCCCGGCAGCCCCGCTATTCCTGGCTACGGTGGCGACCACGATAACGGCGGGGCAGGGGGTGCTAAGAATCTCCGGTGGAGGTCCGGTTGGCACCTACGACGACTTGACCTGGCAACTTATAACGCACGCACCTTGAGGACTGACCAGAAGATCCTGGAGCTGGAAAAAAGAGATAGATAAGTTGCGCTGGAATATTATAGGATTATCCGAGGTCCGGAGAGAGGGGGCGGACACGGTAGTCCTCGAATCCGACAACTTGTTCTATCACCGGGAGGGTGACCATCTGTCCCAAGGAGGTGTCGGATTTATCGTCCACAAGTTTCTCGTTAACAACGTTGTAAAGATTGGGAGCATGTCGAAGATGCGTACCTACCTTATACTCAGAATCACCAAACGGTATTCGCTGAAGGTCATACAAGTTTACACAAAAACCTCGGCACACCCCGAAGTCAACGCTCCGTTCCCCTCGTGCTCTAATCCAAAGTCCCGAAACCTTTCAGCTCGGGTTACAAAACCGTTTTTAGCGTCTAGAAGACTGCAATACAGTGGATTTCACTCAAAACTTTTGCATAGCTCATTTTTTCTGTCATTTTTCTATCACCGATATATATCCTTATTTATCCAGGTGAAAAACCTGGATAAATAAGAATGTATTAGAAGAATGAGGGAAAAAAATGAGGGAAAATGGAGGGTTCATTATTTTGGTTTTTATCACATTGTTTCTTTTTATAGCTAATTGGATAGATTCTTTGAATATAAAATTTTGATAATTGATGTATTTCTTATTCATCGTGTCGCGATCGAGGTTAATGTAATTATTAGCTTCATATTTAATTTTTTACGTAGATTTGGGCTTGTATTGTTTTACTTCAAAATATATATCTTTATGGTCTGATAATGCGAATTCTATTATTGCCCTATGGAAGTCGTATTCTTTTAGCTAATATGGTCTAATATGGTTCTAGTGGTGGATGTTTCGCGTGTACAATACGTCGCGTATTTTTTTTTAATATGGTAAATACATTTTTCTTTATAACTTTGTAGTCTTTAACTAAGCGTCGCTTTTTGAGTAGATCAAAAATGAAAACATTAAAAATTATTGTGTAGTTCAAAGCTACACTTTGAACTATTGTTGTAAATGATTAAAAAATGTTACAAGAGTTTGTTCTTTCTGGTTTGTAAATGGCTCCGATATCCATTGAACATATTATTAAGTGTATCCGTAAATAGTGATTAACTACACACATTTGCTTTCTACAAAATTATGTTTTAAATTTTTGTGGACGTAGATTGAGACTCCGCCACCTCTGGATTGGAATCTTAAAGTTATAGTAATGGGCTAAATTTTGTGATTTGAGTCTTTGTGCCTCGTTTTCAGATTTTATCCGCGTCTTAGTCAATGTGACGACGTAAACTTTCTGCAAGGATGTTACAATACACTTAAGTTACACTTAATTAGTATACATGAAACTCAATGATCTTGTATTTCTATTTACATTTTAGTAACTGATGACAAAATGGTAAGTTATATTATTAAGTAAATTTTGCAAAAAGCTTATTTTGTGCTTGAATTGTAATAATTCTGGTTGAGTATTTCATAACTTAGTTTCTTGATTGATTTTTTATAATTTTAGACATGTATTTTATGTATTTTAACACTAAGTGCTCCTTGCCATTTTGTGTCCGACGTTCTAATTATTTTAGCAGTTCTTTTATTTCTTTCTGTTAGTAGGCAGTCTTATCTGAGTATATTTTTATTGAACCTTCTGTCTGGACTAATTTATTTCATAGAATAAATTGGGCTATTTTTTTTTTGCGACGATAGACTTACTTTTATTGGCCTGGTTTTCTTGGGGCTATATTTGCCAATACGCCGTACTTGAATGGAATCAGGACATTCTGGAAACGATTTTTTTTATTATTATTAAAACTTCACTCATATCAAACGCAGATCTTTGTTAGGAGTTTTATCCGTTGGACTCTAAAACTCTTACAATTACCTTTTTTTTCCTCTAAGATGTTATTCTTGTAATTCAGAAAATATTTCATCGCAGCTTAGATCCACTGCAATATTTTGTTGTCTGATTTTGTTTTTAGGACTTGAATTTTGCCTTGTAATTTATCAATTCTATCTTTTGTAATGCCTTGGAATGCCTTCAAATCAGTAACATCAAATTTAAATTTGTTATGTTCAGTTATTATATTTTGTGTAACAAGTTGTAGAGATTTTTTTTTTATATATATAGAAACATCATCAGATATCTTACCCAGAACTTTGTTTTGTGATTCAACGAAATCTCTTAAAATACTGGTAGTTTCTTTGCGAAAATCTGCAAACTGTTCATACATTCTTGTTCAAGGTGCTTTCTCTTTATCCGAAAGGTATTTTTTGTAAGCCGGTTGTTTCAGCATTTAACATTGATAAAGGAGGTTAAGAGCTTCCACGTCCAGGTGGGGATCGCAATATGCTCATTGCTTAAAATAATTTAATGCGGGCTAAGCCCGTATTGCATCTGGGTATTTTGTGTAAGCAGTATAAATATTGTAGATGTATGGCTGTCTTGCTTTCGCATCGCTGCTCTGCCACCGGGCACTTACTTTCAATCACTTAATTAAAAAAGGTTGTAATATGTGATGTTTGATGCAAGTTAAGAAAGGTGTTCCACTGTTGACATATGTTTCAAATCCATTTGCTAGTTTAATTAGAATTTAGAAAAACATTGGTAACACGTCTACACTGTACGCTCGCGACTCACCAACTTTATTTGCTTTCAACAAATTACAATATGATTGCATAAACTATTAATAATAGTTATTGACTGTATATACCTATACGTTCTATTATTGTTCGTACACACAGAATTAATTTATGACTTGACTTGAATTTAAATATATAGGTATACTATAGAGCGGACATTGGGAACATTTATATACAAAAACTTTGAGCTAGGGCGCCTGTGGCACCCTCTAGATAAAAATAGCAAAACAACGCTCAGCAATAATAAGACAACATGTTAGCTATTCCCCAGTAGTTGACACTAATAAATATAACCTCGTTTTAGGAATGTTACCGTTTCGATATGAAAGTATCGATAATGTTGTTGAAGATTACTTAGTTTGAAATGATTTTCGATATGATAATAATAGGGAATATACGTGATTGTTTTATTGTATAAATCCATTTATCATGACTTCCATCACACGAAAAAAATCATGTTACCTTTTTACGCCCCTCTAGTGTCACGAAATAAAATATTTAATTTCCAATAACTAAGAATCAATTCAAACAGCTGTCACTTTGGTAGCCACCTTGGTGGCATGACGTCACTTGGTCCATTAGCTGCTATAATAATGGCATATGATTGTTTGGTTGGCGTTAAAGACACATCGAGAAACTCCAAATCCAATCAGAGAGCGCCTCTATGTTTTTAAATTCGTTTCTATTACAAAAATACACTTCAAATATAAAATATTTTAGGAAAACACTGAACTTAAAAGCCGTTTCACCATTTTTACGTTTCATCAGCTGCAGTACTTAAAGACACTACCCACATCAATAAAATTGTTATTTTAAGTTTTTACCTTTTTTTATATTCTACTAAGCCAGTGCTTATCTACAATCCCACCTGATGGTAAGTGGTGATGCAGCCTAAGGTGGTGAAGCGCACTGACTTAACAAAAGCCTATTCACTCTTGCCTTGAAGATACCCACACTGTAATCGGATGGAAAGACAGATGCTGGCAACTTATTCCACTGCTTTGCTGTACGCATGATGAACGACGTGGCGAACCGTTTGGTTCGAATGCGTGGTAAGTCAACAACGAAAGGGTGGAGACTGGCCGAAAGGACATAAGTTACAGACGAAAATTTTGCTGCTGATGTCCGGTCTATTACTACTACTACTTAAATATCTTTGGGTGGAAATTACTTTTAGCTATTCCTGTAAAGAATTCCCGTCAGATTCACAAAAATAAAAGTATTTTCCAAATAAAGTTATTACTGCAAATAGTAAGTGTTCCAATTCCAAACGTATCAGTTACTGCATATGTGTAACATATTCATCATGTATATTAAAAATTTACAATGATAGTTGCAACAGCATCTTGTCAATGTCAAGCAGATGCGTACAGATCATCTAAGTAAAGAGTATCTAACTTCTTTTGGTATGCTCCTTGTTAATGATTATATACTATATACTTCACCCAATATTTGCATAATTTTGCTTGTTTTTTATTACCAGGTATTGCGTAGAACAGATTTTATTCGAGTAATGTGTGGGAATCCAACTAAACTTAAAGAGATACGTCAGAAAATTGAATTTCGGCTTACAAGCTCAAAAGATAGACAGGTGACCGATTATTTCACAAATATGATTTAACTAAATAAGATCTCCATTGTTATTATATTTTAGTGATTAGTTACTCTCACGGCCTTACAATCAATTTACAAACAATTGTCAATTAGTCATTTGGGACTTAAACTGTAGCCGAAATTAATATTCGTGTGAAACACAATGTATTGGTTTTCGTTTTTTTTATACCTATTCCTTTGGCTCTAATCGATAACTAAAGTTATCCGTAAATACAAGAATAAATACAAGAGTGATTAGCTCATGTTCTTTATTTTCATTTTATTTATTAATAAATTTAAAAAAGCACCACTACAATTATTTGTTTTTAGTAAGTCAGTATATTCAATTGTTTTTGATAATTTAGTGATACTCTTTACATTTTTTACACTGCCTATTGTTACATTATTATGTATTATTATACAATGATAAGCTAACTTAGGTTTATATTTTTATAATGAAAAGATTTCTTAAGTTTTCTTGAATAAAAAACCACACAATAAATAAATTATCATTACACCAGATTTAACAGACCACAAATTCTCTCAAATAAACCGATTCTTACCACGGATGACTCGTAATCTTATTAAAAAAATAACCATAGTTTCGATTGAAGCCTGAGTGTAGGGCTCTGCTTAATTACAAGCCATCAATTATTATTAAAGTTAAAGATTAAAAGCTGAAGATAGCTTATTACATAAGTGAATTAAATAGTTCAGTCCCAAACCATGACGACCGTCCTGAAATGTCGAGAATATAAAAATAAAGAAATGAAACGCGATAAAATCCGTAAATTTTCTATAAATCAGAGTTTCATTCACTTTATTATTATAATATCCCGTGGGTATCGTAAGAGACGATAAAAGAAAACTGAAACAGGAGATGTAGAGCAACATTTCAAAACAATAAAAACTGAAATTGCCAAACCACCAGCCAATATTGACAATTATGAAAAAATCCTGCATATGAGGCAATCTATGGGGGCTAGTCTACGTTCAGGAGAGGACTTCTACATACTGTAATGCTTGAATGGAGGAACTATTTACAAAATTTCAAATAAAATCGGAAATTATCTTTTTCTAGGAAGCAATATTAAACTACGACAAAAATGATTCAAGACTGATTCGGAAAAGATATAGACCAATGAAAGTTTTCAAAGAGCATTTAGCTGGATTCGAAGAAGAAGATTCGACCTTTGCGGATGATTCTCATTTATTCTATAGAGGTAAATAAAGGAAAAAAATAGTTATTTGTTTCAATTAATTACAAATTGTGAATCATTATGTCATCTGTTTTAGATCAAAATAACGTTCGCCGTAGAAAATTTACGACGGCGTTTTTAGAACTTTATCAAATGACTGAAAATGTAACAACAATGGACGAACCTAATATTTGTTTAAACTCAAAGTTTCCATGGATTCTTGAACCTAATACTAATTTTGTTCGTATTTTAACCATGTATTATTTTTTTGTATTTTCTTCTTTATATATTTTAATAATAGCATATATAAGTATTTATTACAACTAAAAAGTAAAAGTCACTGGCAACACGCACTAGTTGTACAATGTTGTTTTCAAGTTTTGAGGTACATATACCTAACGAGAAGATGTGTCGTAATCTCGTGAACACTGCTCAGTAACTGAGTAAGTAAGTTAGTAGGCTGAAGTGGCAATGGACTGGCCATATACCTCGAAGAACAGACAACCTATGAGGAAGAAAGATTTTCGAATGACAGCCTCGTACCGATAGGCAAAATGTAGGGCAGCATCCCACTAAATGGAGTGGCGACCTGGTAAGACATGCAGGAAGTCGATGGATGCTGGTGGCTCAGGACCGTAATGATAATGATTATGAAAAAATAACACACCACATAGACTGATACACTTTTGAATCAGTTAGAAGATAAATTGTTATTTTAACAAAATGTTTTAAAAATTTCAGACGCATATGTTTGATATGGCACATTTCATCTTGGTATTATACATATGTATTATGACACCATATACAGCTATACAAAATACACAAAACAACTGGGAGAAAGCTATGGACACGATTGTTATTACTGGAATGTTATTAAATATTTACATCCAACTTACGACAGCTGTCACTGAAAAGGTTTAACATTTAAATTATAAAATTAACATAACGAAAAAAAATGTATAAAAATTACTTTGAATGATTTGCTTGATATGTTAATAAGACTATTAAATTAAATTTTTTACGTTAGACTTTATCAAAAACAAAGGAATTTACGGCGCGTTTTGTCTTGTAAAGAGCCTCAAATAGCCATAATACATTGAGCAACATGGGCCTCCGGCGTACTGGAGTGGAGGGGAGTAGCTATGGCATAGAATACAATTGCTCTTTACCGAGAGATGAACGCTTTCTCAAAACTAAAAAAAATGAAACACGCGTCTATGATTATATATTACTAGCGCCACAGTGGGCGCCCATATGAAACTTTCTTCTTTACTTTCGCGAGAATTTCAAACCTTCGTATTTTGTAACTTTTAAACTTTTTGTTTATTTAAGACAAGTTCGAGTAATTTTAGCTAGACCTTCACAAACCTGTTGGGCGAATACTCATATATTTGAGATGTTGCATCAAAATTAAATTATTACAGTTGAGAGATTGCACCAAAATTAAATATAACAAAAAACTATAAATATGTATATAGGTAGTTATTGAATTTTATTTTTTGAAAGACATATTGTTTAACAATATCTCATAGTCAACACATCAAAAAAAAAACTTTACATACACAGTCATGAGGAAATACCTACAAACCGTAATGAAGTATTTTGAACTGATAATAACTGCATTTAAGCTCATAGCAATAATAAATAATAAAATCTAAACCCAATCTAAACCTATGAAGTAAATTTTAATTCATTAAGAAAATATTTTCAACACGAAAGAAGTTGATAACTAAATGTAATTTTTTTTAAATTAATGGCATCTTTTGATAGAATTTTGCTGATATTTAATAATTTAATTTTAATCAGTTAATACATCAAAGAATTGTGCAAACCTCAGCGTAATATGTATGTAATTATTCTAAAGTACAAAAATCCAAAAGAAGTGTAACAGAGAATTAACATATAAAGTTTTTTCCGATATAGTCATATATTATTGTATCTTATTTTTATAAAAGCTATCTTAAAGGACGTGAAGGAAAGAAATAGCAATATCTTTTTCTCGCATAATTTTTCGTCGTCCAATCCACACATAGACAAAATTCTGATTGTGTGCAAATTTCTCAGATTTCATACAAAGAAGGCTCATCCTGAGATTGAAGTTTTTTTCCAATACAAACATGTCCGAAATTTTTGCGAGAGTATCCTCGTCTAACAAAATGAAACTCGCTCATAACAATTTCACATACACATAGATACATTATAACAGTATTGCTCGGTGCCAGCGACAACTCTGAAACCGGTTGACCGATCTGCATATTGTACGAGGGCGAACGGCCTATGTTGGTAAGCAAATCCGAGACAACACGCTCATAGGCCATAGACATTTTGTAGAACGTCGATTGAGCTGCGCAACTAGATATAGTCCAGTGAGTAGTGCAGCCGTAACTGATTATATTGTGCGCGTAGGACCACGTGGAGTTATAATTTGACAGAGGGGAACGCCTGCGTATGACTACTCTCCTCCGGTCCGCCGGTGGCCCGTTTACACTATGGCCATAATATCATATCGCCTTTTATTCGATTTCGTTTGTGAATAAATAATGCGGGTTCTCTTGACAAGTATAATCGCAAATTATATAATACTACTACCTTATCCAATATTTACGTCTTAGATCATTATATTACAGAATTCTATAAAGAAAACTGTGAAAGAAATAGCTGAGGTTAAAATGGCTAATGTGGGATTCTACTTAGATATTTTATCAATTTTTCCTATTCATATTTTTACGGACATTATGGATCTTAAAGATGAATCAATATTGAGTCAACTAGTACTGGTGCTTCCCATACTTCAGGTTTGGCACATTTCGGATTATTTCACAAAATGGGAGAGAAATTTCAATAAAAATTTTAAGGTGCGTGTACATTTAAAATATCTCACGTCTTATTAGATAAAATAATTATGTTACTACTCAGGAACCTCCATAAAAAGAGCTGAATCAACTGTTAACTTGCACTCTCATGCTTATCGCTGTGTAGCGGTACTTACAAAGAATATTTTCCTTAATAATGGATCGGAGATATTGTATGAGTCGTTTGAAGGAAATTTTCAACAAATATAGATTCTCCCGATAGATAGCAGTACAAAAATTAATAATAAAACGACATTAACTAACGTCGTATTGTTATGAGCTAATTTTCTTAATTTCGCGTAAAGAAAGAAAATGATGTGCCCTGCCCAGTTTGAAGGGGACCTCCCACCCTCCCTCAATCGCGCGCACTATACTCGTCGCCGTCAATCCCAGCACTACCATCCCCAGCACCACCACACTAGGCACGACACACCACTCTCGAAAATACGACACTTGTTTCGCCTCTACATGAGGCATCCTCAGGTGAAGTAGACTTGTGCGCCACTTAGCGGCCAGCCTCCGCAGATTGATGGAGGGTGGGAGGTGTCCTTCAAACTGGGTAGGACACATCACTTTCTTTCTTCACGCGGAATTAAGCAAATTAGTTTATAACAATACCCCATTATAATGGATTTCCGCAAAGTAACGCCTGATTCTATTAATAACTAACGTTCTCAAACATACAATACAAAAACAACTAATAATGCAATCGCCAATTCATCTTTGAAACGTGCGTTCGTGAAATGGAAATAGAGTAATAAAAGCCGGTATAATAACATGCAACAAGAAGCCCATCTTAGCTAAGGATCCATCTTAGTCCTCGGAAGTGACAACACACTGTATCAGGTGGACTGTAAGTTCGTTTGACAGTTCAGCTTTATTAAAAAAAATACAATATTTGATGGTTTAGTGCCGAAAAAGAAAATCGCAAAATCTGGACCCACTAGGTAGTACTTTGGTAAGGGCAGAACAACGTCCGACGGAACAGCTAGTCTACTATATAACATCAAAATATAATGTACTTCTACGTAGTACATAACATCACAATGATATAAGCACATGATTTGGGGCATTCCTTGGGGGAGGCCTATGTTAAGCTGTGAAGTTGTGATAGGCTGTTATGAAAACGATGGTGATGATGATGATGGTAATAGAATAGGCCTATGACTTATTAAATAAATGTAAGAAATGCTAATTAAAGAGAAATGAGTAATGCAAGGTTTGAATATTTTTATAATTAAAAATTTAAGATCTCAAATAGCTATTATATTTATACAAACATAAGGGATAGACCTTAAAGTAAACACAAATCATGAAATTTGAGACAAGCGCCCTACTTCCAAATTAATATATATGATATATGATCACAAATATAACACAATGTTTCATTACTATTAACTTTATTCACAGTTACTATGTTTATTGAAGTATTGCCTGCACTTTACAATTTTCTGTTACTGGTCGGGATGTCTTCTTTACCTTCTTGCCTGTCCAAATAAATTGTGTTTAAAGGTCAGTAAGTATTTATATGCTCATTATTAACTAATTTAATACAATCAGACCAGAATATTAAGTTCCTCGTGTTTTTCAGAACTCATGGATGTCTAATTTAATATATTTGGAAACAAAAGTATTGGTAACCAATGGTGGGAAACATGAGAAACCACTGCCAACCTCACTTTCTTTTGGTGCATCAATTTTTACTGGCAGCGGCACGTTTGATTTGGCACCGGGAATTAACGATGTAATTTTGGTACGTTGTTTTAGATATCATATTTCTAATATATTGCGATTACAGTTTATACCTTGTGACGAAAATGCAAACAATAGATCCTAATATTTCCACTTCATAAAGTTAGGAAGACAAATAGTGTCACCTCATCTAGATGGTAACCGTTTAACGCAAGGAAGGATACAAGCTATAATTTTGACGTGATTTTCGATATCAATTTTTTTCCTTTCGCCTTTAGAAAAGTTAAACAACACAAAAAAGACAATGCCAAATTTAATTGCACCCATCTATTGAAGAGCTCCATGACGCTATTAGAATGTTAAATCTGAACTTGGAAGTCGTAAAAGACTCGTCTAGGCGTTTTTGAATATCAATTAATCCAACTAAGTGTAAAGCTATACTCTTAGGTAGCTCGAAATTGTTTTACAAGATTGATGTGACAAGCCTACCCGCTGTCTATAACAGCGAGATACTGATACCGTTCTCTTCCTCTGTAAAAAAACTTGGCCTTTATATGGACAACACAATGAATGGGTGTACGCACTACGCATGTCACCGAAAATAGCCGCAAAGTAAGTATGATGCTCTATTGTCTGAAGAACATATCTTCTTATCAAGACTAAGCTAATACTTGCGCAAACACTTGTAATGCCCATTATTGATTATGAAGATGTGTGCTACTTATATTAGAAACAAAATCTTAATAAAAAGCTAGGGAGTCTTTTCAATAATTGTATAAGACATATATTTGGTCTCCAAAAATATAATCACTTACTATCCAACAAAGACGACACTCTAGCATTATGCTTGTTGTTTTCTCAATTTTGAATAAATCCAACTTCTCCAACATATCTCTAGGTCAAATTCCAGTAACTCTTTTCTTAACTCATGAAAAGGTTCTTCGCTCCTCATGTAATCATAAGATCAGTATTCCATCTCATTTCACTGGGTTCACCATCAATTCAATTACTATTCAGGCAAGGAAATATTACTCTGGAACTCCTTGCCCAAAAATGTAATAAAAGTGCCAAGTAAGGACTGTTTTAAAAAGTTGGTACGTGATTTTTGTTTTAAACTAAGCGATGTTGGACGTTAGGAATGATGATGATATATTTTGATATATTTAGATGTTTTATTGTTTGTAATTTTAATATATATATTTTATTATCATATTCTGTCACGTAAACGTTAAATTATATCTACGTATGACACATATTTTGTTCATATATTTACATACACTATATGTAAAGATTTTCTATATTATATGTATACCATAGTACGTATGTATGGATATATATAATTGGCTCGAACCGGGGTAGTACCACGACCTCACAGAAAACCAACGTGAAGTAGAGGTTTACCTCTGCATTTCGCTTGGTGAGTGCAGGTGGCCGGAGGCCCTTTTTACTGGAAATGAGGCATTCCATCTTAGTCCTCACGGGTGACAACGCATCTACATTTTGAATTGTAACAGAGGATAGATGTAGATGTCTATGGGCCGCAGCAACCACTTACCATCAGGTGGGCTGTGTGCTCGTTTGTCACCCTTATCCTATAAAAAAATGTACCTGCAAATAAATCTCATCACTCCACGGATTGACTGGTAGAGAATGCAGATAGGCATTAAGTCCACCCTTTATTACCCTAGTTATTAAGGTGTTAACAATAAAAAATAAATAAATAAAAAGTCAGTAGTATATATTATGTACTAATTATACTAATACTAGCTGTTTGGACTTGAACATCGATATTTCTTTGGGATTGAACATCCTATTTAGTAATTTTCTTTAACAAATTTTGATGACTAAATTGACGAAAAACATTTTTATAACTTACTTTAAATAATTTACTTACCTTGGGATGACCTTTGCATAGCTTAATTGCGTCCACATTTTTTTTTTCAAAGAGAACTGTATTCTTACAAATTACCCCATTAAAATACATCGCATAAAAAAAGTAAAAAGTATTAAGTAACATATTACAAATTTACCAAATACCTATCTAACAGTGTTAACCTTAAGGCAACCGTAGGCATATCAGTTGACGCATTTATAATAAGGTTATAAAAGGTTAGCTGTGGATTAAGGAAAACTATTTAAGAAAAGAAAAATTAATTTTATATTACAAAAATTGTACATAATTTGTCAATTATGTTTCAGGTTTTTTTTATATTTAGCGCTGGATCATACTTGAGTTTCTTTTGTGTGGCCAAAATATGTAGCATATACCTACTGCTGACACAAAGAAAATTAAAATTTAAGGTTAGTGAAATTATCGTAACACAAAAATGTGTTAATTTAAATGCTTATGTTATTTCATCTCCACATGGTGCATTATGTACATTTAGAGATGTAGAGATCACGTTTATGCACCAGCGGAGGTCAAATGGCGATATATCAATGTAAAATGTTTCAACTAGAGTAACTGGTTATGGAGGTAAATACGTTCCGGTGTGATGTTAGGCGAACTCCATTTTGAGAGGTCGTACAACAACAGATCTATTTACGTCACTACAATATAAAATCATACAAAAATAAGGGCAAATTGAAACAGCTATTGAATTATCTCGCAACTATACTAAATATCCAAGTTATAAACTGTAATTACAGCTCATTCCAGCTTGAGACCTTGATCTTATTGATGAAGTTGTAATTGAATCACATACTTAATTGATGAAGCGCAGCTCAGCTATTTTAGGTACACATAAAAAACTCTAGAGTTCACTTTGTTCTTTTTCAACAGAACTGACGATGTTCTCTGGTAAGAGAACAGTGCTTTGTGTGTGAGTGCTTTAGTAATTATTATATGTCATCACGGGTCTCCAAACCCGTCACCGTAATATTATTAATAACGGAGCATGTAATAATTATGACGCTGAAAGAAAGAACTATAAATCTTCATAAACACGGAGAACAATATTTATTTTGTTAATTTAATATTATATGTATATTGTTTTCTTGGTACCAGATGTCAAAGATACGAAACGTCTACTATTAAACTGTCACCAGCTAATAACGTTATAACACACACACATTCACACTCACTTATTTAATATCACTATTACTGATGATATTCATGATACTACTACTACTAGAAATAACAAACACTATAAAATTTTTAGGCATCCAAGTTGAAAAAATACTCGGTTGGATGTTTTATAAACAAAATATGGCCAATGGGTTTCAGGAAATATATTTTTCTTTTAAAAAAATTACACACGGCTACTAACAATAACTAATTGTTACAAATTAATACTACGCTTGGTCATGTTTTAATTTCCTACTTTGATTGTACTTGGAGAGGAACACATTAGAAACTTATGATTGAATTGGAACGTGCACAGAAGAGTTTGTTAAAGGTTGTTTGTATTTGCCCTATGAGCATCCTACCTCATTAGTGTATAAAAAGATAATGTGTTAGGTATACGTAAAACTGTTTTTTATTAAGTTTTCATATTATAATGCTATATCACCATGTCACTGCGCCAACTATTCTATACTTATACTTATCTTCACGCACAATCCCTGACGGGGTAGCCAGAGAGAACAGATCGCCAAGTGTCACGATCCTTACATATCTCTTTCGCTTCTTTCAGATTCATTATCTTCTTCATACATGCACGTCTAGGTATCCGAGTACTCTTGACCCTACCCTCTTCGAGCAATTTGCACACATGGTCTTCGAAAGTTAGTCTCGGTCTACCTCGACACCTTTTAATATTAACTTTCGCGCTATATATTTTCTTCACCATTCGGTCTTCACTCATTCGCTCAACGTGCCCAAACCACCGAAGCACGCCCTTATCAATTTTTGTGATAAGGTCATCTTTCAAACCTGCCATATTGCGAATCTCTTCGTTTCGCTTTCGGTCGGCCATGGTAACGCCGCACATTTTACGAAGAGATCGCATCTCCACTGCATTCAACTTACTTTTATGCTTCTTCTGGCATACCCAGGTTTCGCTGCCATATAACAAAGTCGGTATCAACACTGCGTTATGTATTGCAAGGCGTGCACTCTTCGCTACGCCTTGCCTTTTGACTAACGCAGTCAGGGCACCATTGACTTTGTTCCCGGCAGCGACACGCCTGTCCACATCTAAATCACATCTTCCATCCCGGCTAAAAGCACTCCCCAAGTATACAATTTCATTTACCTGTTCTAGACATTCCTGATTTACCCATATTTCACACTTCGTTCTCTCTTCGTCCCTTTCAAATACCAGAACCTTAGTTTTATTAGCATTCAAACGGAGACCTTTAATTTCACATTCCTCTTTCATACACGTGACTAATGCCTGCAGTTCTGCCTCTGATGGTGCAATAAGCACTGCATCATCAGCATACAGCAGACAATTTACTTTAATGTCACCCAATTTCACACCCAAACAACTATCTTTCAGCTTCTGTAAACAGCTGTCGAGATACAGTATGAACAGCCAGGAAGACATGACACAACCCTGCTTTACGCCCGTTTGGACATTAAACATGGGTGACAGGTCATGCCCTACCCGCACACAGGCTTTACAGTCACAGTAAAGAGACTGCACAGCCCTTAGCAATCGACCATCCACACCATACCCCGGCAACAGTTCCCACATTTTCTTCCTTACAACCTTATCAAATGCTTTCTCAAGATCCACAAAAGCACAGAAAATCTTCTGGTTAGCAGCCAGAAGCTTCTCCGTGATCATGCGGAGAGAAAACATTTGATCCGTGCATCCTCTTCCAGGTCTAAATCCGCATTGTGCCTCCCATAGAAATCTTTCCGATTTCTCTTGCATCCTACGTGTCAAAACCTTCGAGTAAACTTTACTTGCTAAACTGGTCAAGCTGATCGCCCGATAGCACCCGCAGTCAAAATGTGATCCTTTACCTTTATATAAAGGCACAATGACTGCGGATCGCCAATCATCCGGGACATCCCCCGTCTGCCAGCACAAATTGCACAGCAGGTGAAAGCTGTCCCAGACGCGAGGCCCACCATACTTGACCATTTCAGAGTAACTCTGTCTAGTCCCGCAGCCTTACCACATTTCAAACTTCGAATCGCACGTTCAATCTCTTTCATCCTGATGACCTCAGTGTCATCGAGGTCCGGGTCTGGTGTACCAGTCACGGCGTCATCCCCGGATCCCTCACTAAGATCATCACACGCATACATTTCTCTATAAAATACGCTCCATCGCTGCATGACGTCCGATTTTTCTGAGAGGACGTCATTAGTTGTCGAAAGCACTTTGTTCATTCTTAAGGCCGTCGCACCACTTCGGGTCCTTCCAACCTCTTTCCAGAAGAGTTTGAAGTTCTCCTTGAAGTTGTGCGACAACCTTTCGTCCGCTTCCATTCTACACCTTTCACGCACTTCCTCAATCAGTGCTTTCGTGTGAACTTTCTGCAGCCTATATCTTTCTTTCATCTTCTCTCTCATATCCTTATCATTACTAGAGGCCAAGTAGTCTAACCATGCTTTCTTCTTCTTCTTTACAGCTTCTTTCACTTCATCATTCCACCATGCATCTCTTCTTTCACTACTGCCTCTTTTTATTGTTCCACACACTTCTTCCGCTGCACTTACCATTCCATCCCTAAGGTTCTGCCAAGTTCTTTCTACACATTCTTTTCTGCCATCGATGGTGTCAAGCTTTTCGCAACCCTCGCATGACATTTGTCCCTAGTATCCGCTTCCTGAAGCTTCCAGCTTCGGATGCGACAGACCGACTGTGTTTCTGTTACTGCCGTCCGGTAGCGCCAACCCTCGAACAGACCCCTAAATCTAGTAATCACTAGATAGTGATCCGTTCCCAGGTCAGCACCCCTGAACACTCGCGTATCCATCACCTGTTTTCGCAGTCGGTCATCCACCAGGAACAAATCAATCATACTTCTCTCATTCTTTCGTTCTCTAGTATACATATGGATTTTCTTGTGATTAAACATAGTGTTTGTCACAAGAAGACCCTTTTCCTTGCATACAGCCAGTATAAGCTTGCCAGCATCATTAACCCTTTTATCGCCAAACTTTCCAAGTACCGACTCGTACCCTGGTCGAGCGGTACCAACCCATCCATTCAAATCACCACATACAACAATTCTTTCGTTTCCCCTAGCCAAATCTAGAACTTCTCTTACATTCTCCCAAAACTCCTCCAGCTCAGCCCTGGACGACGAAGCTACCGGCGCATAAACAGCCAAAAGGAATAACTTCGTCAGTCCCAATTTAAAGCGAACCCAGAGAAGTCTTGAGTTCACAACCTTATATTCAGTCATAACATCGACCAACCGAGAAGACAGCAGTACCCCCACTCCCTGGCAGGCGCTCTCGCTCTCCGGGACTCCTGACCATAGAGCTAACGCCCTGCCAGGAAGCTCTTCAGTACCACTGCCCTTCCGTTTGGTCTCCGACATACACACGACATCTAATTCTCTGTCTTTCATTATTTCGATCAACTCATTCGTCTTATCTCTCATGCCTCCTCTAACATTCCACGTGCCAACTCTGCACTCTGTCCTCCACCTTCCGCCGTGTCGGGCTGTGTGTGACGGGTGGCGGTCCCCATCGCCGCTTTGCACGCTGCATTCCACACCAACGGGGACGAGCTGGTGTGCGTCGCCTTGGGGGGACGCCCTAACCCTCGTTGGCATGGGTGCGCAGCTAGTAGAATTGCAGCCCTGAAAAGGGCTGGCAGGGGTCGTGACGAGCACGCTTCTACAATGACCCCCAACTATTCCAAATACAGAAAAAGTAACCATTTCATTCCTTTTTTTCCTTTACTAGATTATTTTATGATTTTCTGGTCCCATACTTGTATAACAAAAAAGTCTGTTAAGAAAAGGGGTATAAGAAAAAAGAAGGGTCTTAGCCATAAAAAAGAGTCTTCAACTAAGCCGTCAAGTCCTGCAAAAAGGTGCAAAGCTCTCTGTCAAACCCTCTGGCAGTAGAAATTTTCGGGTTCTCGCCAAAACGGTTGAGACATACTTCTGCCGGTCTGCACTGCCTCTCCTGGTATAACCAGATGGCTCACTAGCGCATGCGGCTAAAGTAAAAGCAGACTTATCGTCTACTTCTTCTCTTTTCTTCTTCTCTTTTTGCTTACACTTCGCCTCTAGACAGTATCAACAGCAAAACTCAATTACCTCACGGCGGTACCCTCTATGTCAAAGTTCCGTATCAGCAACAAGGATATTCTAGAAATCTATATGTGAACAAAGCTAGTGGACCTGATGATGGTACCAGCTATAGTTCCAACGGTCTGTGCACC